GGCCCCACACACACACACACACACACACAATAAATAAATAAATAAATGCTTAAAAAAATTAAAAAAAACAAGAAAACAATGCCATTCACAATAATGCCCCACCACCACCCAAAAATAAAATACTTAAGTATTAACCATGGAACTGAAAGATGTTTAACAAGAACGCTACAGAAATCTGAAAAGGGAGGACTGAAAAGAACACCAAAAAATGGAAAGAGATCTCCCATTTCTGAACAGGCAGAACCAAATATTGTTAAAATGACTGCATTACCAAAGCTGATACATGGATTTAAGGCAAACCCAACCAAAATACCAAGAGCACTCAAAGAACTACAAAAAAAAAAAAAAAAAAAAAAAAGTCCTAAAATTGTTACAGAGTCAGAAGAGACTCAGAATAGCAAAAGCAATCCTGGGCAACAAGTGCAATCAGGTGGCATCATAATCCTGAATCCCAAGCTGTACTGTATTACAAAGCTACATGATTAAAAAAACACACACACACACAACATGGTGCTGGCACAAAAACAGACAGGTCCATCAAGTGAAAAGAACAGAAGATGCAAAAACAACCCAGGCATACTCAAATATATTCTGTTTGACAAGAGGCGGAAAACATACTCTGAAGAAAAGATAGCTCACTTAACAAATGATGCTAGGAAAACTAAGTTATCCATATGTAAGACACTAAATCTAAACCCATATCTTTCATCATGCATTAAAATAAAAATCAAAATGGATCAAAGACCTAAATACTAAAACATAACAATTTATTAGAACATTAAATAAGTGAAACTCTTAAAATCAGGCATAGGCAAGGACTTTCTGAACAGAACCTCAACTGCACAAGAAATAGCACAAGGAATAAACAAAGGGGATTATATCAAATTGAAAAGCTTTTTGTGGGAGAAAATAACCAACAGAATGAAGAGACAATCTACAACATCAGAAAAAAAATTTGCAAGTTACTCCTCAGACAGAAAATCATCTAAAATATATATAAAGAGGCTAGGAGTGATCACACATGTCTGTAATTGCAACACTTGGGAGCCTGAGGCAGGTAGATCATGAGTTTGAAGCCAGCCTGGGCAACATAGTGAGAGCCTGTCTCAAAAAAACAATACCAAAATAAATATTAGGCTCCTCAAAATAAACAACCCAATCAAAATACAGGCAAATGAAATGAACACACACTTCTCATCAGAAGTACAAATGTCCATTAAGTCACGAAAAACTGTTCAACATTGCTAGCCACTAGAGAAAATGCAAATTAATACACTGAGAATCTATCTTATTCCAGATAGAACAGCAATCATCAAGAAATTAAAAAACAAATGCCAGAGGCTACAGGAAAAACCATGATATTAGCCATGGAAGTGAAAGACACCTATACTCTTAGTGGGAATATAAAATAGTACAAATACACAAATCAGTATAAAGTCTTCTAAAGAAATAAAAATAGAAATTCCAATTGACCCAGGGATTCTCCTTCTAGAAAGCATAATCCCAAAGGAGTTAAAGACATTGTCACAGTAATACACACTCATATTTAACTCTTAACAGTTATATCTTGGAAGCAGCCTATGTAACCATTAACACATTCCTATGAACTTGGGTTACCAGTGGTACATGTGTGACAGTCTCATGCATAACAGTACCACTTCTACTATCAATACAAGCCACCTGATAGGACAGGCGTGCATGTACCACCAGCGTCCAAGCTGCCCATCAGCAAGATAAAGTATGGCCCTGTTGTGAACATGCTAACCTATGAAAAAATAAAGAAAATTTGATTTACTCAGTCATGATAAATAAATCATGGCATTATTTATCAGTCATGAAACATAATAAATATTAGTCATTTGTAGGAAAATGGGTATACCTTGAGACCACAGTGCTAAGTAAAATAAATCTGACACAGAAGCTTAAGCATCACGAGGTTTCTCTTATATGAGAAACACAAAGTTTAAATAATTTAAAGATTACCAAAATAAAAAAAAACTAACAGAAAATAGGGAGATGCTATAGATGTTTTACAATGGCAAGGGGATCTACATATATAACATAGAGAAGCTTGGGAGGAAAAGGGAAAGTAAAAAGGATTAAGATTCAATATATACATAGGGGCTGGTAAGATGGCTCAGTGGTCTAAAGCACCTACTTAGAACAAGCTTAGCAAAGCACAGGGACTGCTGTTCAATCCCCCAGCACCACATGCCAGCCAGCCCCGCCCCCTGGTGGGCTGAGCTGGCCACACACACACACACACACACACACACACAAATAAATAAAATTAAAAAAAAAGATTCAATATATACATGTACCAACATCTCACAATGAATATATTATGTATTTAAAATACATACTTTTATTATTATTATTTTAATGTATATAGTAAAAGGTCTATAGGATCTCACTACACAGATTTGACTTGTAGTGATCGTTCCTGTTTTTCAGCCTCCCAAGCACTGGAATTACAGGCGCACACCATGCCCAGTCTCAATCACTGTCTCAGCATGCCCTGGGGGCGGGGCCAGCATGGCAGGCCAGGGATTGAACCCCTGGCCCATGTCAGCCTAAGCAGGCACTTTAATCTGCTGAGCTATCTAGCTGGCCATGAAATCTGTACTTTTAAAACAAAGAATGATTCAATCACCAGTAGAAAAAGAAAAAAAAAAACAGAATGAACTAATGAATGAATCTTATAAGTACATGTTAAGCAAAAGCAGCCAGGCCATGAAGACTAAATGACATTTTGGGAAAGACTAAACCATAGGAACAGGTGTCACATTGGTAGTAGTTACTGTCAGAATGTATGGGTAAAAGAAGGGTACACAGGAACTACTTACATTGACAATATATTCTTTTTCTTTTCTGTTGCTTTCAAGACAGGGTCTCACTATGTCATTCAGGTAAGCCTTGAACTCACTCTGTAGCTTAGGCTAGCCTCAAACTCAATAATGATCCTCCTACCTCAGCCTCCCAAGTGCTGGGATTACAGGCAGACAGCACCATACCCAGTTAATATTATTCTTAACATATATAATGACTGTGGTGGTAACATTTACATGACTATATATTTTTCAAAATTCGGGGCTGGTGAGATGGCTCCGTGGTCTAAAGCACCTACTTAGAACAAGCTTAGCAAAGCACAGGGACTGCGGTTCAATCCCCCAGCACCACATGCCAGCCAGCCCTGCTCCCTGGTGGGCTGAGCTGGCCACACACACACACACACACACACACACACAAATAAATAAAATTAAAAAAAAAATTCAATGAAGTGCTCATCTGAAAAAGTGAAATTAGGGCCGGCCAAAGAGCTCAGCGGATTAAAGCGCCTGCAAGCAGGTGCAGGGGCCATAGGTGCGGTCCCTGGCCTGCCGTGCTGGCCCCACCCCTGGGGTGCGCTGAGACAGCAATTAAGACTGGGCATGGTGACGCATGCCTGTAATCCCAGCTCTTGAGAGGCTGTAAACAGGTGGATCACTATGAGTGATCACCCTGTAGACCCTTCCCTAAAATTCCAAAAAAAAAAAAAAAAAAAAAGGTGAAATTTTCCTGTATATAAATTATACCCAGTAAATCTGATTTAAAAAACAAATACATGCCTGTACCCCCAGTACTCGGGAAGCTGAGGCAGGAGGATCATTTTGAGTTCGAGACCAGCCTGAGCTGAAAAATGAGCTCAAGGCCAGCCTAACTATAGAGCAAAACCCTGTCTCAGAAAAAAACTAACTAAATAAATACAGATAATGTTCCTTTTCTCTCAGGGACATTTAATTCCCATGTCAAAAGACAAACACAAAATTCTCTAAAGTCAAAAGTTACCTAATCTGGGGCTGGAGAGATGGCTCAGTGGTCTAAAGCACCTACTTGAAACAAGCTTGGCAAAGCACAGGGACCGCGGTTAGATCCCCAGCACCACATGCCAGCCAGACCTGCCCCCTGGTGGGCTGAGCTGGCCACAGACACACACAATAAATAAATGTAATAAATAAAAAAAAAATAAATATTTAAAAAAAAAAAAAAGTTACCTAATCTTTGGTTAATAATGAAAGTGTACTTCGTTTCATGAACTCAGTTCTCTCCATGATTCTGGTCACTAGTCACAAACCTAACTGGATGAGAAATGAATCAAATTAGGACTGGGGAGATAGCTCAGTGGTCTATGCACTTGCCTGGGAAGCACAAGGACCCAGGTTTGATCTCCATAACTGCATGCCGTGCCTGCCCCATGCAGGCCACTGAAACTGGGCATGATAGCACACACCTGTAATCCCAGCACTGGGGTGGATAAGACAGATGATCACTACAAGTCCTCATTGCATAGCAAGACCCTGTACCAAATAAATAAATAAATAAAGATTTAAAAATTTTTTTAAGAAATGAATCAAATTTCTCAACAAAGTCAACATGGAACCCAAACACTGAATTTGATTTGGTTCTCTTCCAACTCAGTCTGTGAGCAGAATCATGGAAAGAATGAAGTTCATGAACTGACGTACCACTGTATCCCCAAAGGCAGGCCAATAAGGAAGCAAGATCCAGTGGCACTTAGCATTTTCTAGAACTCAGACCTACGAAACTGAGTTGTCAACCAGAGGGCCAAGCAGAAAGCCAAGAGAACAGCACCAGAATGAGTAGAAAAAGGGTTGCTGTGCCTTTCACCTGCAAGTGGTGGACAGGTCTGGCCAAGCAACTGAAGACCAGCAACATGGGGATGTACAGCTTGACTTGTATCTGGAATATATGAAAGTTAATTCTCTCAATACACAAAGTAATTTGAATACAAAGTGTTTTCCATTAATGCTGCTCACAGAAGAAGGCATGAAAATATGTATTATGTTATAATCACTTGATACCTAACAACCAAAGCCCTCTGCAGTCTTCTGAGCTTCCATAAAACATTACTCAAAAACGTCAATGTGTCAGGTAGAAAGAAAGAAATATATTATTTCAGTCCTTGAAGATAATTTAGGATGAAAATGAAACCTACTTACCAAAAACATTTCCTTTTCTTTGCACTGACTCCTTGGTCTGTCTGAGATTTGTTAGGCCGTTTTCGATTCTCACTGACTTCTGCAGATACCATCTTGCTGGAGGATGCTTGTATACCTAACCAGAAATTTAACAAGTTTCTATTATTGAGACTGAGTTCAAAGAAAATACATAATTTGAATTGAAAACCATACAATCTAAAATTATACATTTAAATTTCTTAAGGAGCCACGTATGGTGATGCAGGGAGCAAGAGTTTGAGGTCAGCTGAGGCAAGTTTAACAAGACCCTGCCCTCTCTCCAAAACATCCCTTAATAAAAGGGATAAAGAAATGTAGTTCAGTGTGAAAGCTCTGTCAATCTGCAATACCACAAAAATAAATTAAATTTGTTAGGGTACTGAAATTTTGTATTTTTATGTTACATGAGATTAATCTCAAATTCACAAAGATATACCATGCAGCTAAACCCCTGGCCCTAGAACCAAATTTTTAAAGCATCAATACCCAATTTATAACTTTGAGACTAACAGGTTTATTATCTAATTCTCCCCAAACCTAATTATTTTTCCTCTTGTGCTGGTTATTTATATATATTTCTCTTTCCCTATTATATGGCAACCTTTTTGTTAGGAATGATTCCTTTTCATTCTACTATATCCATAAAAGGCATAATGCTTTGCAGACTTAAATAATTCTATTTTATTTTATTTTTTTTAGTATAGGGTGTACAGGGTGTACAGGGTTTTACTACACAAATCGGACTTGTAGTAATCCGCCTATGTTCAGTCTCCCAAGAGTCAAGATTACAGGTGTTCATCACCACACCCAGTCTCAATCACTGCCTCAGCACACCTTGGGGGGGCCAGCATGGCATGCCAGGTATCGAACCTTCACCACTGCATCTGCCTCAGTAGGTACTTTAATCCGTTGGGCTATCTGGCCAGACCTCCACTAAAACTATTTTTTAAGACTGACCTAAAATTAGAAGTAAATACACTGTAGTTACCTCCAAAGGATTTAGCTTATCCACACACACAAACAAGTGTTCCCACCTGAGGCCCACAGGTCCAAATTCAGAGGTTAAGTATGCCCAATGTCTGCAGGGCAGTACACAGTAAAAATATGTGGAGTCTGCTTTGCTTTGTTGTGGTACCAGGGACTGAACTCAGGGCTTCATACATTACAGAAACACTGAGCTGCATCCTGTGCCTTTTTAAAATTTCAGACCGGCCTTGCACTATGTAGCTCAGAGTACCCTAGAATTCAGAGATCTTTCCTGTCCCTCCCGAGTGCTGGGATTATAGGCATGTGCCAACCATATCCAGCTTAAAATGTTGAGACAGGGCCGGGGAGATAGCTCAGTGAAATAAGCACTTGCCTGGCACGCGAAAGAATCGGAGTTCAATCCCTGGTTCCGCAAATAAATAAATAAATAAATAAATAAATAAATAATAAAATAAAATTTTGAGATAAAGTCTTGCTAAATTGCCCAGGTTTGGATCAAACTTAGTCTTTTTGCCTCAGCTTCCTAAGAAACTTCAGTATATACCACTATGCCAAGGCTTTTATCAAATTTTCAGAAATGTTCAGAACTGCCCTTTGTGCTTACTGATACCTCCAGGGTGCCTACGAACCACACTAATGACCTTCTTTTTCACCTTTCAGCACAGAATCCTCCAGACGCTCAGCCATCTCATGGCACTGCTGCTGGTATTCAGGGCTGGTAAAGCAGTGCTTGGGTTCTGCGAGCTTCCGCTGCAGTCGCTCCAAGCGCCTTTGCTCCTTTTCAGCATCCCGTTCAGCTTGTTGTTTTACCCATTCAGCCATCCTGGACAGAAAGACAAGAGATGTAACTAAAACAGTACAGTATGCATATAGTATATCACACAGCATTTCAAACAAGACAGAGTACATGTATGGTTCCAGCAAAGTGTAATGGAGCTGAAAAATTATTACTGCCTAGTGACACATTAGTTATACTATTAACATATGACTGGATATAAAAAATGTCCCCTAGACGAATGAGCTCTCAAATTGTGGTATTTCCCTAGAAAGGTGTACTGTGCTTAAAGCTAGGATACTATATAAATCTAAGGAAAAACCCAAAGGTGTTTTGGTTTTTTTGGTCTTTTTGAGACAGGGCCTCACTCTGCAATTCAGGCTGGCCTTGAGTTCACTTTGTAGCCCAGGCTGGTCTCAAACTCACAACAATCCTTCTGCCTCTGTGGCCCAAGTCCTGGGATTACAGGCATACGCCATCATACCCTGCCCAAAAATGATTGTTAAATTATGAGAAAAGTTAAATGTGACAACCAAACTACAATGTAAATAACCTTACATATCTGATATACATGTCATATGTATAATTTACTATCAATAGGAAAGTATGTTGCTGCTTCAAAAAAACAACTTTTTTTTTTTTGGCGGAACCAGGGATTGAACTCAGATCCTTGCGTTTGCCAGTCAAGTGCTTATCCTACTGAGGCATCTCCCCAGCCCCCCAAAAAAACAACTCGAGAAATATCAAGGGTAAATAAGCAAGATGAAGGAGAGCTATTGGGAAGTGGAAAGAACTTATTCAAATGGGATGGGGAATTAAGGTTAGAAGGGAAAAGGGATTCTAAAAAAAGAATGGAAGGAAAAAAACAGAAACAAAATGAGGGGAAGGATTCAAAGGAGGGTAATAAGAAAAAAAGAATTAAAATTAAAATATGAATTTGAGTACTGCATATAGCAAATATATACTTATAAAAAATTAAAAGATTAAAAAAAAAAAAAAAGATGGGTAATCTCACGCTTTTTCATGATTGACATCCCGCAATCTCCTTCCACTGAGGTCCCGGCAAGCTTCCCGATTGGTTGTTTTCTCAATCTGAGCACCAAGTGCTCGAAGCATAGATCCAAAACCTGAGCCAAGATATTGGGACAATACAGGTTAAAATGTATTCAAGGATGAATCAAGGCAAATTTGGGGTTTTTTTGTGTTTTTGTTTTTGTTTTTGAAACAGGGTCTCACTATGTAGTACAGACTGGCCTTGAACTCACTTATATAGTCCAGGCTGGCCTCAAAACTCATTGACGATCCTCTTGCCTCAGCCTACTAAGTACTGGAATTACACATGTGTCACCACACCTGATTTAAACTTGTGAAAACAGTCTGGATTCTAAGATTAAAACTAATCACTACATTCTTACCTTTTTTGTTTTAAAAAGAAATGGATAAAAGGTTCTAACCCAAGAAATAAAGGGAAAAAAATTGATAAATCTGACCTGAACTCATGCCCTTTACCTTTCATTTCACATTTCTGGAATACAAGAGTATAATATATTTTAAGGGCTTTAGGCAGAGATCCCATGATTGTCAGATTAAGAGTTAAATACTATGTGGTCAGGTTTTTCAATAGGTTTAAAAGAGGCAACCTGAAGTTAATAGTGGTGGATGACATATTTCAGTCTTCAAGACTCAGTTCAAACAGCAAGATGACTAGTTTGAGAGCTCAATGTTGTGAGACCAAACCAAATCAGTGCAGATGAAGACAACTTAAGGGTTATGTGCTTGTACATCTGGAGGTATACCTAGACTGTTCACACGGTTTTCACTCCTGTAGTTTCTTATCTTCTTAGATGTCTAAGTACAGCTAGATACAACCCAAATGCCCATCAACTGAGAAATGGATAAAAAAGATGTGGTATTTTTACACAATGGAGTATTACTCAGATATAAAAAAAAGATAAATTTGAGGCTTTTGTGGATAAATGGATGTAACTAGAGACTCTATTGGTAAATGAAATAAATCAGACCCAAAATGTACAAAATGTACAAACAGCATATTGTCTCCATGAAAGAGCAAGTAGTCTCAAAGGTACAATAGGTACTGTGAAAGGGAAAGAATTTGTTTAATGTGAAGTAAAAACTGGGATAAGAAAAAGGACAAAGGAAATAAGGGGGGAAAAAGAGATATATATATATATCTTCACGATAGTTGTGCTGCTGATCTCCGCTGGTCTTTTAAAAAGAAGTGTTAATGCTTAGAATTTTTTTTTCAATTTCTTTTA